GCAAACACGGCCGTAGCCACCACCTGGGTGCAAACGATGCCATAGACCTTCCGGATAAAGCCCAAACGAACCTGCTGTGCGCTGATGCCCTGAAAGCCCTGAAAGCCGCCCTCAAGGTCAAAGCGCGGCGCGTTGCCGCCGAATCCTGCGCTAGGCGCGGCGCAGGACATGACGATGTGTGGGCGGGTGGGCTTGGCAACGAATGACTGCGTCTCTTGAGCCAGGGCGGGCTGCAAAACGATAACGCAGGTGCCAATGCCGCGTAAGAATTGCATTGTTCTTCCCCTGCCCGCGGGATGCATATCCAAACCCAAGTACTTTGCACGCAGCATCATGATATTTGGCTCTGTGCGGGCCTCTGAGGTATGGTTTCAAAGCAGCGGGGAGCCAAACACTTAATACTTGACCCCCGCCCTCCGGCGTGCCAGACCCTGTACATCAGCGAAACAACATGCGCGCTGAATAACTCCATCGAACTCTGGCTGGCACCTGTCCGCGAGTATCCGTGAGTCCAGCGGATCAAAATCAGAGTGCTGCGGGTGAACAAAACGCAGCAGAGAGTAGAATGAATAAAATGTCCTTGCTTCGAATTGCTCTAAGTCTTTGCACGCACGCAGCATACAGCTCAGCTAGTTAGCTAGTTGTTGTCATTTCCCTTGCTCATCTGCATCAGGATTTCCATTATGTACAGGAAAATGTTCACAATGTCCATGTAGATCTGGATAGCGCCCTCCACGTAGTCGTCCACCTCCATCTCATGGGCGATTCGCCACGTGTCATAGACCAGGTAGGCGCAGAAGATGGCGGCCCCCGCAAAGGACACCAACAGGCCCATGAACCCCGTGTGCAGGGAGGGGAAGATCATGCCGAGCAAGCTGAAGCCAAACAGACCGAAGGCCAAGGGCCACAAAGCAGCCCCCAGAAAGGAGAAGTCGCGCTTGGAGCGGAAGGTGTAGATGGTAAGCCCTGCGGTGACCAGTGCCGTAATCACCGCCGCCTGGGCCACCAATGCTCCCATGCCATTGGCAGCGCACATTGCCGAGATGGCACCCACATCGAAGGCCATGACAGCTGTGAGAGCGCAAAGCCCAACAAAATTCATGGGATAGCTGTTCTTTCCGGTGTGGCAGACCAGCAGGGCCAAGCCAGTGGCGATGAGGGAGCCCCAGCGGAAGACATTGGGCCAGTGCATCACGAAGCCGACCACAGGATGTCTCAGCGGTCCGCAGCACAGCGCCGCAAACACGGCCGTAGCCACCACCTGGGTGCAAACGATGCCATAGACCTTCCGGATAAAGCCCAAACGAACCTGCTGTGCGCTGATGCCCTGAAAGCCCTGAAAGCCGCCCTCAAGGTCAAAGCGCGGCGCGTTGCCGCCGAATCCTGCGCTAGGCGCGGCGCAGGACATGACGATGTGTGGGCGGGTGGGCTTGGCAACGAATGACTGCGTCTCTTGAGCAGGGCGGGCTGCAAAGAAATAACGCAGGTGCCAATGCCGCGTAAGAATTGCATTGTTCTTCCCCTGCCCGCGGGATGCATATCCAAACCCAAGTACTTTGCACGCAGCATCATGATATTTGGCTCTGTGCGGGCCTCTGAGGTATGGTTTCAGAGCAGCGGGGAGCCAAACACTTAATACTTGACCCCCGCCCTCCGGCGTGCCAAACCCTGTACATCAGCGAAACAAAATGCGCGCTGAATAACTCCATCGAACTCTGGCTGGCACCTGTCCGCGAGTATCCGTGAGTCCAGCGGATCAAAATCAGAGTGCTGCGGGTGAACAAAACGCAGCAGAGAGTAGAATGAATAAAATGTCCTTGCTTCGAATTGCTCTAAGTCTTTGCACGCACGCAGCATACAGCTCAGCTAGTTAGCTAGTTGTTGTCATTTCCCTTGCTCATCTGCATCAGGATTTCCAAGATGTACAGGAAAATGTTCACAATGTCCATGTAGATCTGGATAGCGCCCTCCACGTAATCGTCCACCTCCATCTCATGGGCGATTCGCCACGTGTCATAGACCAGGTAGGCGCAGAAGATGGCGGCCCCCGCAAAGGACACCAACAGGCCCATGAACCCCGTGTGCAGGGAGGGGAAGATCATGCCGAGCAAGCTGAAGCCAAACAGACCGAAGGCCAAGGGCCACAAAGCAGCCCCCAGAAAGGAGAAGTCGCGCTTGGAGCGGAAGGTGTAGATGGTAAGCCCTGCGGTGACCAGTGCCGTAATCACCGCCGCCTGGGCCACCAATGCTCCCATGCCATTGGCAGCGCACATTGCCGAGATGGCACCCACATCGAAGGCCATGACAGCTGTGAGAGCGCAAAGCCCAACAAAATTCATGGGATAGCTGTTCTTTCCGGTGTGGCAGACCAGCAGGGCCAAGCCAGTGGCGATGAGGGAGCCCCAGCGGAAGACATTGGGCCAGTGCATCACGAAGCCGACCACAGGATGTCTCAGCGGTCCGCAGCACAGCGCCGCAAACACGGCCGTAGCCACCACCTGGGTGCAAACGATGCCATAGACCTTCCGGATAAAGCCCAAACGAACCTGCTGTGCGCTGATGCCCTGAAAGCCCTGAAAGCCGCTCTCAAGGTCAAAGCGCGGCGCGTTGCCGCCGAATCCTGCGCTAGGCGCGGCGCAGGACATGACGATGTGTGGGCGGGTGGGCTTGGCAACGAATGACTGCGTCTCTTGAGCCAGGGCGGGCTGCAAAACGATAACGCAGGTGCCAGAAGGTTTTTAGTGAATCCAGAAGCATGTACTGTAAACATGACACTATACTTACTATTGCAGCTTTCACTTTGTTTCAGTGTGGCGTCAGTGCATGCTTGTGATACAAGTACGCTTCTGCGTCAACCACGGCGAAAGCAAGCTTTTGCCCTTGCGAGCTGAGGCTAAATCTGGGCTCGCTGAGGCTCGCGCCGGATTCCACCAAAGGTCCATGAGATACAGGCGTGAGGCTGCCACCAAGTTGAGACCTGTGCATTCCCCTCCCTCTTGCAAGCGTGTGTTCACACAGCCAGCCATGTGTGAAGCAAAAAGAACGCTCACGCAAGGAAAAAACCCGCCATCATGGGACACACGCACACAAACACGCAAACACATAAACAAGCGCACAGAGACACACAAACACACACGCACAGAGTGAGCATTTCTTACCCCCCCCCCCCCAAACATTTCGTGTTGTGTTCTTGGAAGTCGTCAGAAAGAGGTGCGCGATGCCGCCGTTCGTTGGTTGCACGCGAGACACCTGGCCTGTGCCTCCAGCTTTGAGTGACACCAGCAGCACCTCAGAGTCTGCACATCGATCTCGGGTCCATCGGTCCATCGGCTTCGGCCAGTTGCTCAAGTTGCTCGCTTACTCGGCGGGGTGTGCATGAGTCCGCCACACGGGCTGCCGCAGCGCCTGGAATGCGAAAGGGCTTTTTCGTTGCTCCGAATCCGAGGGCCCAGACGCAAAGTCGATCTTGGAAACTGTACAAAGCCCTTTCTGCATGGACACAGCCTGCCATCCGGCGTGCCTCAAAAACTGACCGACACCAGGGATGCCTTGGGCTTCTTCTCCCAGCCAGGCCACGCGGGCAGCTCGCTCCTCCAAACCTTGGAAACAAAGCTCCATCCCCCTCGAATTTTTGGCGATGAGCTAGGCCTAAAGGCATCGCATGCAGGTCCTGAACTACCCCAGTAAGGTGAGAAACTGTCTCAGCCAGATAGCGACCCGTGTACAAAAAGAAATGCAGCACAGCTCCGTCTCCTTCGTTATCTCCATCGGCGTTTCCCCAATGGACTTGCATTGATTTGCACTAGCTTCCGTGCAAAGACAACATTCAATGAACCCCGTCTTGGCGCCTCGCTTAATGATCCATCCTGAGTGACGCACGCAGCAGGAGCGAATGAGACGCAGCAATACAGCTGCAAGGTGTACAGCCAGCCAAAGCTCTCGTGCTGCAAGAAGAAGTACAAAACATGCCTAAACTAGTTCGCTACTGCCCATTGCAAGCCATCTCTATTGACACTTCTGGACTTCGTGAAGCCAGCCCACACCTCGTTGCAACATATTCTAGAATCACCACTGCATTTTTTGAATGTAAGAACCACCACCGCGCGTAGTATTCTGGTTTGTTAATAAAGCTACATCTAAGTATCTCTCTTCTTGCGTGTGCATCAGGTGCAGAACATTGCCGTATAGACGTTATACTTGTGGGAGCAGCTTTACATACAAATGCATGTTAGCTGCTCAAGCCAGTTCTGCCCAACCCTACCAAAGCCCCCAACCTCTTAACTTATCCCCAAGACCAAAAAGCACTGCATGCGACGAGGTGCGAATTTCTTGTGCCGGATTCCTGCTCCTTCTAGCGCCTGAGCATCTACCCAGCACGGTTCAGGAAGACAGGCACCGAGGCCGCCAAGGCTCAATGAATATGAGAGCCACAACAAGAATGAGAGCACGTCTGAACTGGGGAGTCATGTCAAGCCACACTTGGGTGGTGAAATGGCCCCATATTTGGACAAAATACGTGGTCTGCACGAACTGTCAGAGCAAAACTGCTTTCTTCCAATGTTCCAGGATGTCATGTGCCATGCGGCCCGGCTTAATGGACAAACCGCATAGCAAACCTCAGCGCTGCACACCTGCCAGCAAGTCCAAGAAAGACGTCCACTGAGAGTAGACCTTGGTGCTTGCCCCAGTCCATCACAGCATCTAAACCTTTTGGACACGAGGTGCGGGCTGGAGGATGGCCGGAGATATTGTTTGTTGCGGTGAAACTTGGGGAGGACTTCACTCACTAGTATTCTTGTCCGAGCATGCGCCGCATTTTGTCCGGATCGCTCCGCTCAAGCCGCTGTATGTGGCTCCATCCTTTGTGGACTATTGTGCTTGCGGCCAGGTGGTGCCTATCCAAGCTTCTACGACCACTAAGCCTACATAAGTCTACTATGCGAAAACCCTTCGAACATCAAGCCAAGCAATCAGACCTCAAAAAACAACAATGTCATGTTTGCAATCCAATGTCATCCCGCGTCTTCTTGATACGTGGGACCCTCAAAAGGCAGACTCGCACCTGCGAAAATGTGGCCTGACTCATAGCTCCAGCTTCTCAATCCGCAACTTGATGGCCTTGGCCTGGCCGCAGCTTTACCCCCAGTCAACATCCCAATCCCAACTAAAATAGACTAAAATGGGTGTGCACCTACCCCAAAATGGTACCATTGGTGTTGACCCACGGCCGCATGCCAACTCAAAGTTGTGCTTTTGTCAAAATGCAATGTAACTGACATGCACTAAGCCATCGAACGACTTGCAGAAGTGCACAACAGGAGGGGTCCGTGGCAACAAACACATAAGGATTGTTCTAAACATCCTCTCCTGGCCTGTTTAACTTTTTGGCTTCCGCCGTGCTCCGCAACAAAGCGCGTTATGAAACCTCGTTGGCCTCGTTTACCAAAGGCCTGTTTCTCAGCCTTGCATGCGCAAGTTATGCGCGCAGAGTGCATGAAGCAGGCACTCAGCATACCTTGCCCATCACCTGGGTGCAAATTCTCAGCTCGGGGGTGGGAGGCACTGTGCTGCGGACTGTGTGACTGTGTGTGTGTGTGTGTGTCAGTGCTCGTCAAAAGTGAGCTCCAAGGGCTACCGCATGAGCTTGCGCGGAAAAAGTGTCGCTTTCTGTCCAATCTCTTTCTTGCTTTCGCTTCCGTGATGAGATGCGAAAAGCCTGGCTGGGAAACGCCACCACCCAAGTGGGTGGATTGATCACCCTCTTCCTTGCACTGCAACTCGTCAAACAAGAGTCAGAACCCCTGCCATCGCCAAGTAAGACGTGAGATGAGATTCAGCCCAAAAGGGCGCATTAAGAAGATTCCGCAGAGCTTCAGGGCTGGCAAAAAGCCAACCACGCTACGTCTACTTATCACAAGCGCGGGATGTAAACGCGTGCTGTCTTTCAAATATCAGCTTCCGCGACGCTTCCGAGTTTCAGCGATTGGAGAACTAGAATGAACTGATTTCAAGGCCGACGATGAGAGAAGCGCGTTTTCCAAGGGCCGCAAAAATGCACTTTAGTACCCGTCAGCCGCCAAATCGGTCTCTACAACTGACTTCCTTGAAAACAAGGCTAACGATCAGAAAATCTAGGTTCGAGGTGCTAACATGACTCAAAATGTACGCCAGACTCTCGCGCACATCCAATTGCGATAGACACATGCAACACGCTCTATAAACTCATGCAGGCTCAACCACTACCCATGGCATTGAAATCACATGACCGAAGCCTTGTGTTCCAGTCGGATCGATCACAAGGAGGGTTCCGTCGCCAATGGTGGCACTCCGAATGCCCAAACAGCGCGGCGCGGCGGCGCCCGCCTCCAAATATTTCTCCTCCTTGAGCGCCTCATCCTTCCGAGCCTGTCCAGACCCGCTGGCCCCATGCCCGAGAACATTTCGAAGGGCTGGTGAATGGATTGGGGAGCCTTGGCTTTGCAGCGCAAGTCCAAGCGATTCCTCGGCGGTAAGGGACGCCATCCCCAGAGCTCGGTCATACTTGAGAAGACGGCTTTTGCGAATAGCCAAGCCGACCTTCAAAAATCATAAGACGCAAAAAGCGGAGCAGTGCCTGGATTCAACGACATGTTCAGGTTAGGAGGCTTGCAGGTATGGAAGGTTGCATGCCCAGAAGCGTTTAAGAGTTGCATCGCCACAAAGGCATATCAAGGCTGAATATGTCCCCTATGTGGTGCACAACCTAAACTGCGCCAATACTTCAGTTCCCCTACCTTCCCCCTACCTTCCCTCTCGAAGTATCTCAAAGTCACAAGTCCAAACATCCATGGCTACCGCCCTTTCAGTGGGCCTTAGGAAGCCCATGCGCCACATTGGCCCCATGCCCCTGGTGACTCTTGCAGCTTAGTAGGGGCCCACTCAGCTAAGGGAAAAAGGGCCATTGAACGGGTTGCCAATCGGAGATGGGTATTCCAAGGCTGCTGGATTTGTGACGCCTCTCCTCAGCGACATTCTCAAACGCCTAAGGCATCCAAACTGTGGGGCTTTCTGTCCAAAAAAGCCCTTTGTGGCATTTGGGCATTGTTGAGTGGAGGAACCTCCTTTGAAATGCTGGTGCAAGGGGCATCCGAGCTGACTCCTGTCGCAGCCCTTGGATGAGTGGCCGCCGCCTTGAGCCGCGCGACTTCCTTCACCTTCAACTCATCGGCCTGCTTCAAGGGCCGGTTGAATGTCATGATTGCGCTTGGCGTGGCCTTCTTGTTCGCCTTCCGAGCCCTTGCAAATGATAAATCGCCCCGTGTTTGCCCTCAAACTTGGCTCAGCATGACTCTGACAAACAATTCGCCTCATCAGAACTGTGAGCCCTGCCAGTGCCTAACTATGCACAATTGGGCACCGCTCGGCTTGAAGTGGGGCTTCAGAAAAACAAACTAACATTGAGGGCGCGGCAAAACATGATGACACGTGAATGTGAATTTCTCACTAACAACCCCAGACATAGTCTGATTTTCCCAACTGTCATTGGCAGCACGGCATCCAAAGCGATTGCTTTCTTCGAATGACAGCCCTGGCTCCAATTTTCGAATCGAGCGTCCGCGGGTTTGTTTGGCAAACCCCTCCGACAAATGCGCAAGTTTTGAGCTGGTTTGTGTGGTGTTTCTCTGCGTGTGTCATGTGTGCGGAGCGGGGTATGCAAAACGGCGACTCAAAAGGTTCGTGGGCAAAGGGTCGCCTCCTGGTTTTCAGGAACATGCACGTCGACTCAAACTGGCCCAGCCACCAGTCTGCCTGGCGGCTTCACCCGTCCCTGGCCTTCTCTTTGAGATCCTGGGCCTTGTCGAAATCCTCCTCTGTCTTCGCCGCCTCCTTCTTCGCCAACAATTCCTGCGGATCAGCCCGGCATGGGTGCGGTCAATCGGTTTTGGGGTTTGCCTGGGGCACAGCATGACCAGAAGTCCGATGTGCTCCACCGACGAAAGCATGCCATCCTTGAGCTCCGCGTCGAAAGCTGCGCCCTCGGGGTCAGAGTCAGCATCAACAGCTGCCTCCTGGCTGCAAAGCATTCAGAGGTACATGGCTGTGGGAAGACCAAAAAGGCTACAGCCCATTACAGCCCGACCACTGCCGCACCTGCCCGCCAACTGCTGCTACGCACGCCAATTGAGAATGCAATAACATGTTTGATTAGGGAGGATACACTTGCGTGTAAATGTTTTTCACACATGAGTCCGGCACAAGGCAGCGGTTCGTCTCTTTCTCCTTCCCTATCGGAGATTAAAAAGGAAAAGGGATGGTGGAAGGAAAAAGAGTGAGAGACCGCCCAACCCTCCATTTACACGCCACGAAATAATGGATTGGGGACAACGTCCAGCTTCCCGTTTTTCCCGTTCCTACCGTAAAAACCAAGCGGAAAGCGCTCTCGACACCTGCAATCACCTCGCCTCTCCAGCAATACCGTCCCAGCCTAGCAGGATCAAGGTTCATCTTTTTTCTTAACTTCTCCATCCCCTGGCTACCAAGCGTGGGCTTAGAATTTGAATGCCCTCTCTTGTCCCAGCTCCACCCATGTAATTACCAGAAGGTTAAATTGGCCGGAGCATGCGGCTGAAGATAGGTGAGTTGATGGAAGAAGCCTTACTAGACCCTGCCGAACCCCAAGGGTGAAAACTTTACATCTTCTCCTCGTCCTGTTTGTCTTCGCTAATTATTCTTTAGTTCGTTTCATGTTTCCTTTTCTTTCCCTCGTTCTTTCTTTCGTCTTTCCTCTTCTTTCTTTATGCCCTTTCTGCTTTCCTCGCTTTCCTCCTTCCTCCCATACTTCCCTTCCTTCTTTCTTTCCTTCTTTCCTTCTTTCCTTCCTTCCTTCCTTCCTTCCTTGCTTGCTTGCTTGCTTGCTTCCTTGCTTCCTTGCTTCCTTGCTTCCTTGCTTCCTTGCTTCCTTGCTTCCTTGCTTCCTTGCTTCCTTCCTTCCTTCCTTCCTTCCTTCCTTCCTTCCTTCCTTCCTTGTATTTGTGTACTGTCTTTATTTATCGTGTAGAACCAGCTACCAATCTATCCTACCCACCCACATTTCCACCCAAACTATCTATCTATCCATGCTCCCTCTTTCTCTCTCTCTCTCCCCCTCTCTTTCTCTCTATCCACTATGCAATCGGTCTGTTTGCCTGTCAATCTGTATATCTATCTGCCTAGGTATCGACCCATCTATCTAACCCATCTATCTACAGATCCACCTCCCGCTTACTATCTACTTGCCTCTTTGTCTAGCCCTCACCCTCTCTCTCTCTCTCATTTTTTTTCTCTCTCTCTCTCTCTCATTTTTTCTCTCTCTCTCCCTCTCTCTCTCTCTCTCTCTCTCTCTCTCTCTCTCTCTCTCTCTCTCTCTCTCTCTCTTCCATCTATCTATCTACTAGCCTCTGACCTTGCGAAACGCTGCGCCTGTCACGCAAACTCATGTTGCGAAACGCGCGCGCGTCCGCGCCAATGGCCCGGCTCCGAACGCGCTCGGAGATGCGAAAGGACTCAGTTCCCTTTGTAATGGCTTTTCTGTAGGGATTACAGGACTGACCAACACTCCTTTTGAACACCCCAGCACCTTGCCCTGGCAGAATTTTTTGACGTAGGTTTCATCAACGCAGAGCCTCTCCCTGCAACATTGACTTCTATGCTTTGTTGATATGGCTCCAAGAGTGCTCTGACCAGGCTAACTTTTGCCCAAAGCACCCAAACCCGGAGAGGGTTGCACGTTTTCCACATTTCTTTTCCCGCGCCACGCGCGCATCTTTTTCCCCGCACGCCTACTCTACTCTTGTCTCTCTCAGAGATCCAGCTCAAACTTCCCTTGACTAGCTGAGAGGTGAGGAAGCATCGCCACCTCTTCCCTCATCATCCCAACTTCTGTCCACTTCCTTCCACCAATCTCGTTGCTACAGCCTGGTCTGCCTTGCAGGTCTGAGAGCGCGGAAGGGTGTAGAGGTGGGAGTCTTTTCTAGTCACCCTTCATTGGGAAACAAAGGCTAGTAACTGAAGGAGAGATAGAGATAGGGAGAGATGATGTAGCAGTGAAGGGATTTCAGAGCAAACGCAATAAAATTATGATGTCTTATAATTAATTTACTCTCGAAGAAACCAATGCCAGATATATTTTGCCGCTGCTTTATTAGTCTTATTTGTTGTCGGTGCGTGGTTCGTATGCCATTGTGTGTTGGAAACCAGATAAAGTTCCATCACGCGTGTCGTTTCCTTCCCAACAGTTCTATCTTATCAATATGCAAGACAAAAGTATTTATGCGAATTATTGAAAGACTTAACATGTACTGTTAGACAGGAACGCACGTCTTCAATAACTTTGTTCTTACATCATTTCATCTGAACTCTTCTCCAACTTTGGGGATGTGGCCAACAGTTGTGAGGTGGGAGGTAGAAATAGCTTATGAAACAACCTCATGCGCTTTGCCCAAGCAAACCGTTCTACCGCGCTACTTCCTCTGGGGAACAACTCAGTCCTTCGCTGGAGGCGCCGGGGAATCTTCAGCCTCTC